GTCAATGATCAGGTATCAAAGCTGAGACCTTTGCTAGGGTCATGGACCTTTATATCTGATAAAGGTCACCCTTATTAGTATTCTTTATATAAAGAATACTAATGAGGAGTGTTTTATCAAATACAAAGGTCCATGCATATGACTAAATAGGCTCATTCTATTGGCCTAATAGCTCATTAATTATGTATGAGTTTYTGAAATAGAACTAAACGTCAAGCAGTCGATTTTTTTGTAAAAAATTGTCGTAACAACTTTATTTTCAATTTTTGATACAACAACGGAAATGCAAATACCAAAATAATACTGTTCGTCAAGTTTCAAACACGAGCACGGCAATTTTCACAATTTCAATTAATACAACAAGGGAAATGCAATAAAGACAGAAAAATACTGTTCGACAAGTTTGTATAGTCACAAGCACGGCACTTTGAGATTTTTGTACTGCCTGACGTTTAGTGCAAGAACTAAACGTCAGGCAGTCGATTTTTTTTGTGAAAAGTCGTCGGAACAACTTTGACTTCAATTAATAGCACAAGACAAATGGAATCAAAACGGAAAAAAATAATATAATAATAACTCATTGCTGCGCTTTTTGGTTACCAAGTCACCATGTTTGGTATGTCACGCGAGGAATCACGTGTTGCCTGAATGGTTTTGTAATCTGTTGCGGTCAAGATGGCGTTATGTGCAGTTTGTCGTTTGTTTATTGTTTTTTCCTATAGACCTAACTATATTTTTGGTGCAGTTATTTTCCCCGTCAAATCTTTTCTGTTGCATAACTCATTTGTTTTACGACTGAAACACTGACTTTTCTCATTGAAATAAAAAGTCTATGAAGACATCGACCTGCCATCCATTGGCGCTGTGATTGGATAAAAAAGATTAGGCTTTGTTCGTTAAACACATGATACTCCAGGGGGTGCCTTGATTCGCTCGGTCTAAATTTAAATTCAGTTTGAAGCACCAGTTCAGAACAAGTTTAGACGCTTAAAGAACTTTATCTAACACACACCATGGAAGCTCAGAACAAGTGATCATGCGCCTAGTCGCAATTGACAAAAAAACAACGGAGTCGACTTGACAGTCTCCACTATTTTGTCGATTTTTATGCTACTTTCGCATGACTTCCACGTCTTGCTACATACGTACACGACGATACGAAAGAGCCATGGCATGGTTACATATTGTTAGTCAAAGCCTTCTTTTTCGATTACTTGCTGCCGTAGTAGCCACAAATCTCATCATTTGGACATACAAGAATCGAATACCACGCGATTTTGCACACCCTTCGTTGCCGTTCGTACAGCCTAAAAATGTGACTGTAACTACTGAAAAGCCAAATAACATCTCAAAGAGAATTCTTTTCTATACATCGTGGTTTGGAAAAATTCCATGGCCCCTCAATGGCCCGCTTAAACTGCCATGTCCTCACAAATGTTCGATAACTTACAACAAAAATGAGCTGGCTTTCAGCAACGCAGTTGTTTTCCACGACTCAGACATAGATGACCCTCGATCATTGAAGCGAATTAGTGAATCCTTGAGACGAAGAGCACAGCAGAGATGGGTATATTACACTCATGAAAATCCACACAATGTTCATAATCCTGCTCCATTTAACGGGATTTTCAATTGGACTGTTACCTACAGGTCAGAYTCAGATATACCTCGTCCTTATGGCCATTACAACACTTTGCAACATGGCGAAAGGATTCTTAATGAAAATAATACAATCAACTACGCCAAGGGAAAGGACAAGCTTATCGCTTGGGCAGTAAGCCACTGTGGGACTATTAGAGATAAAGTTGCAAAAAAACTTCATGAGTTTGTTCCTGTCACTGTTATAGGGAAGTGCAGTAATCTTTTCAATCAAGTAAGTCCCGAAGTTTGCAGAAGGGGATCACCGAAATGTTCATCTTACTTAAAGCGATTCAAGTTCTACCTTGCCTTTGAAAATGGAATGTGTATTGACTACATAACGGAAAAATATTGGATCACGCCCTTTGATAATAACATGGTTCCCATAGTCTTGGGGTCGAATTATGATTCTAAGGTTGCTATTCCCGGCTCATTTATCAATATCCTTGATTTTCCGAATATGAAAGTTTTTTCTGATTACATYAAATACTTGGACAAAAACGACACGGCTTAYAATGAATATTTYAGCTGGAAGGCRAAGTTTAAGTTGGATAGGACTGCGGAAGATCGGTGGCTGTGTAGATTATGTGTTGATCTTTTTAATGATTCACTGCCAAAGAAGGTTTACACGAACTTTAAAGCGTACTGGGGGCTCAAGAGTAATTGTTATAGAAATAAGGAGAAAATTCAACGTATTTTACTGTGACTGACTTCTGTGGCAGGATAGGAATGGAATAGACATATCATTATCAATTTCATCTTGATTTCATTTGGTCTTGACGCACAAAATCATTTTGTATTGTCTGTAAAACTAGTTTCGTTTTATTGCAAACCTCCTSAGTTACAAGACTTGTCTAGTGTTAGACAAGTCTTGTAACTGAGGAGGTTTTCAAYAAAACGAAACTAGTTTTACAGACAATACAAACCGATTTTGTGCGTCAAGACCAAATGAAATCAAGATGAAATTATTATCAAAGTCTTACGAGGTCAAAATTCTCAATATATCAAAGCATATCATTATCATTATAATCTGTCCAACGATATATTGACGATTGTTCTTGGACTCTAAAACAATCTTACTCACCACAAATAAAAGAATTATTCTAAATATAAATTCATAGATCAAGGGCAGGGTTGTAAAATGGCTGGTGGCATGTCAAGGAGTAAAATATATAACTGTGAGTAGTAGCATGCTCTAAATCTAYTTGTACCAATTTTCATGGACACTAATTTTGTTAAATAGTTTTGCTAAATAGTATTGTGCAATAGTGTAATAGTACTACATTAGAGCGATATCACATAAGCATATGTTTTGCGTGCAAATGAGTTTCGTGACTAAAATAATATGATAATAAGTGCTAGCGTGCCTGCATGCTTCAGTGAAACAGCTGAAATCAACGTCAACTGATTTTTATTGTGAAGGTGAAAAAAAGGTAATCAACTCTTATTACGTGCTGGAGAAAGAAGGCTTGCTCGGAGGTTCAACGGGTGTTTGGCGAGAAGTCGCATTAATGTAGAACATGTTTTTTAAGGACTTCAAATCTATAAAGATATAGAAAGCATCTGTAGACAWGCCACATGGTTCATGGTCTTGATCCTGTGTCGAGCTTGTGGCATTTTAGACCGAGAGACGTGTTGATCTTTTCCAACAAATTTCAACAAAACACGCATAACATGCTATATATAAATTGTAATTTTTAAAAAATGCTTGAAGCAACATTTTTATTAATTGGATGTTATGAATAGTAAAAATTGTAATAATYATATAGGATGGAAAACAGTCCAATATTCACCGTTTGATAATAAGATTAAAAATAAGAGTTGACTTCCTACAGATCTATATTTCTTTTTAATTCTTGATTTTTTTAACTTCACAATAAAAATCAGTTGACGCTTCATTGAAGCATGTAGACACACTCGCACTCATTACCATATTATTAGTCACGAAAATCATTTGCATGCAAAACATTGCTGATGTGATATTGCTCTTATGTATTACTTTAGTGTAACACATTTCAATACTCCAGTTTCGAATTCAAAGCGAATAACCGCTGTTTTACTTGACAGCAGATTCTATTACGCAAAGAACTTACCAAAGACAAAAGAAAGCACGAGGAAATTTTGTTAGTACAATAGCGCTAAGAATCTACATTTTCCCCGAGTTGAGGCCAACCCTGCTCATTCCTTACTCCGGTCTTATGGGAATACAGGGTTAATCTCAACTCGGGGAAAATGCAAATTTTCAAGTCTATTGTAATAACGACATTTTCTCGTGTTCTCTGTTGTGTTTGTAAGGTCTTTGCGCAAGAGAATCTGTTGTCAAATAAAGCAGCGGTTATTCGCTATGAATTCGAAACTGGAGTATTGGATTGTGATTTCCTTTCCAAAAATGTTTAGAAATAGTCCAGCTGCCAACCAACAAAATTGACCATCAATTGTTCCTTTTGTGAAGAAAGCACCAAACTTGACATACATACTAAGAAAAATATACTTAACACGTTTGGACTTAATACCAAGCGACATAAATATATGATGATAAACCCTCACAAATATTTTGTATTTTTTCCTGAGTTTTCGTTTTCTTAATATTCGAAATATCTTTTGTACAGGAATTCTAGATGGCTCCCTATCCTAGCACGTGGTTTTACATGTTTACAACACAGTTGACAACATACATTTCTCACAGTATATAAATATTCATTGTGTATATTAGTGCAGTTTACAGTTTTAAAACAGTGTTGATCTTTATTTATCACAGCTTTCATGTTTTTTTGGCTTATAAGAATGGTAACATTTTATGGCAAAGCACTGGAAAGATCGCGCGCTTTAAAGGTTGTAAATTTGATGTAGATATGATGTAAGTGTCTAAATTCTGTCAATTTAATGGAAATCATTTACATCAAATTTACAGAATTTTGGACACTTACATCATTACATTAAATTTACAACCTTTAAAGCGCGCGATTTTTTCAAGTGAAGACGCATACCGTTCAGTTGGAATTTGTTTCTTGTGTCTCGTGAATCTCCTGAATTACTTCACATTTTAATTTTAAAATTTTAAAATTTTAATTTTAATTTTAAAAGAGGCTGACTGTACCCGCAATGTGGTACAGGGCTCACTTATTCGCTTACGAGGCTCAATGACTCTCCTAAGAGACTGGTTATTCGTAAACACTTGTTTCGCATGTTTAAAATCTGAAAAACACTTAAGAAAATACCCTTCCTTCCTAAAGGCCGATTTAGACGTTGCAAATTTTTTACCAAAAACTATCGCATGCAACGTGGCTACAACTGTCGTGGGACTATTAAGTAATTGTTTTTAAATCCCTACGACAGTTGTAGCCATGGTGTAAGGATGACTTAAGCAGGTTGCATGCGATGGTTGTAGGTAAAAGTTGTGCCGTCTACATCGGCCTTAAAGAGACATGGTCCACTAGCATGCAATGCGATCGTGCTTTAGATTTTTCATATATGGAAAATGAGGTGACTTCGCATATCCATTCGCAATCCGTTTCCATCCATCRGATTAAAGATCGAATCTTAAAGCATCTCAATTCATATAGTGTAAAGGAATAATAAAGAGAAMGTTTTTGCTTATATTGCGATATATTTCTATTTCCAAACATAAACAAAAGCTCGAAAGGGATTGTGGTGGACCATGTCCCTTTAACGATATTACAGAATGAAGCTGTGACGGAAGAGTAATAAAAGAAGTAAAAACGATGAGATATACTCACCAATCTGTATTTCAAACTCCACTGCARATAATTTCAAAGTGCATAGCTACCATGAGGCATTTTCGCTGTGTTATTGTGAAAGAGATMGGAAGGTCGGTTAAAATTGTCAACACTTCACTAAAATGGAAGCTCTTGAAGAGTTGTCGTGTTCACTAGAGTATGGCGGAACATGCGCATACCGTTCTCCCAGCTGCTGGTTTTAGTTRTTATTTACTTCAGCTCTGACTGGTCGATGGCGATGTGAGGAGAGCGATACTCTACCCGAGGTGCTGGCTGGAACAGGACTTCCGTCTTCTTCAAGCTGATTTCCAATCCAAAGAGCTGGGCAGCTTCTGCAAAACAGGAGGCGATGCGCTRCAGTGCGGCATCAGTATGGGCAAGGAGAGCAGCGTCGTCTGCAAGCAGCAGTTCTTGGATCAGTTTCTCCAGTGTCTTGGCGTGGGCCTGTAAGCGTCTCAGGTTAAAAAAACTGCCGTCAGTGCGATACCSAATGTAGTCGCCGTCATTGTCATCTAGTGCCTTCTGGAGCATCATGCTGAAGAAGATGGAGAGGAGTGTCGGTGCGAGGACGCAGCCTTGCTTGAACCGGTTAATGATGGGAAATGGGTTTGACAGGTCGCTGCTGTGACTGACTTGCCCACGCTAGTTCTCGTAGAGCTGGATGACCATGTTGAGGATTTTTTGGGGACAACCGAGTCGTTCCAGTATTTGTAAAAAAGCAGAACTACATGTATACTTGATGAAGCTTATAATATAGTCTAAATAGGTAGATTGTATTTAAAAGTTAATCTATTTACAAATGTCTTCTTGAATCTATGTGTATTAACCTTTGTTTTTTTGGGA